CCTTGTTGATTCAAGACAATGACAGCCAGACAGTCATGCTAGCAAGATGAAAACCGCGAAGTGCTCCGCTTTCTGTGCGTTTTCTTCTGATATACTGATGGTAGGTAAGATAGCATCACATCTCAGGCTGCTCCACCCATTCAATTATCGCGCTTGCACGAATGTCGGCCTCATTTAGTAAGGGGACATTGCGGCGCAGTACGCCCTAATGCCAATTTGTCCCAGGGTGTCCTTTAGAGTTGCTATTAGCTTTATTACTACGTTATTTCTTTAGATTGTTTTTGTTCAACGTACCTTTAAGTTTCCTATGCCCAGGAAGGGGAAGAAAGTCTTTTCAGGGAAGCCAAGGTTGCTAACGGACTCAGAGGTCTTCCCTCCAGGGCCTAAACGTGTGCAATAAAAGAATATGCTCTGCGTGGTTCAAATGCGTCTGAGCGCTCCTACATAATCGATGCCTCTTATTAATGGGCCGAATGGTTTTCCGATTAATGTGCGTGCAAAATCAATGTCTTCTTCCAGTATAAATGCTCATGAACCAAGATGAAGTGTATTAACAAAGGTGGTTGATTAGGTTTTTCCCAATCCAAGTTTTCTGCCCGCGGAAATGCAGCTTCGCATGCGCCACAACAATAACACAGTAAGCAAATACAACATCGCCAGCACGATTTCACCGCGCGCGGCACACGCATGCAACGCAATTTCCGCGGATATAAATCTGGAATGGTGAAGAGGATCAATTTGCACGGAAGCCATGCTTTTTTGCACCTCTGCTTTGGTTGCTTGGTTGCACTGATCGAGATTATCATCAAGGAAGCACCTGAGGATTTTGGCTTTTTTCCAAGTACGCATATTTTATGGAAAAAGTTCTCATTCATATGTTATTTAGGGAGCGACTGTCACGGAGAGCTTGAGCGCTGAGACTCAGGACGAGAGTTTCGAACGTGAAGAACTCGATTACGACGAAGATGATGACGAAGAGCATAAAGAAGAACGTACTGGTCGTTTCACTTCGGAGAGAAGCCAGACAAATTCAGTAAGTAGCTTACCATTAATCGAATTTTCTCATAACTAAAATAGGAAGCAAAAAACAATTTCTGTTCACTGGCGCGGCCGTAACTAGCAATCCCCGCGATCGCGGATTCGCACGATCGCTTCCTCGATACGAATCTTATCCTAGCGAGAGACGGTGAGTGTTAACGCGGCTTTCACACCTCGCGATAAATCGCTAACGAATCGAGCGATTCTGCTCGAGGATTGAACGCGTGTCGACCAAGCGATCATGCGATCCTGTGGTCGCTAGGACCGTAAGCTATGACCGTGCAAAAACCGGATGATGCCTCCATGAAGCCTTGAGCGAAAACTAGCGTCTATTTTTTAACTTGAAATTTCATTCCTTGAAATTTCATATTGCTTCATTTTCAATGTTGAGCAGTTTAAAATATTGGGTCCCTCAACCGCGAATTATTTCCTCCCACGATGTAGACGTGACAAGAAGCCATCAATGAGCGAGTTGCGCAGATTAACTTTTTCATTTGTCGATGTGTGATTGAGAAGCCCCAGGTGTTGTCAAGACCTGATTTGAACTCATTCCTGCAAATGAAAACTAATGTGTTTGTTTCAAAAGTTGTGGCATCAACAAATGCATGACTTGTGCGGCGGTTTCACCAAAAAGGCAAACCGGCTCAATTTCCTCAAGAGTTATTAATGAACGTGCGGTGTTTCTCTGTTCATGCAGTATATGTTCGTGTGTAAGATTTCGAGGACATCAACCCCGCCGTTAAACACAAAAAAGTTTTGCCGATACTAGAAAAAACACCTGCGTAAGCATTACGGTCATCGATTCCGCAGGAACTCTGATGACCGAATGTAAAGGCGGGGAGATGCGATTCCGTTTCGAAGTGAGCTGTTCTCTTTATTGGAAAATCTCTTTTATTTGGTAATCATTTGCTCTTATGTTCAATTAAGGTGAAATTTCGCTTTATACGATAGGCCCCCAGACAATACCTAACCATTTGGGCGCGGCCGCGGCGAACGCGGCCGAGTTGATAGGTGCCCGCGAACTCAGCACAGCACAGTTCGCGGGCACCTCGAGTGCGTTTTCAACGGTTCGCGGGCACAATCGACTCGGCCGCGTTCGCCGCGGCCGCGCCCAAATGGTTAGGTATTGTCTGGGAGCCTTATACGATACCGTTGCCACCTTTAAAAAACAATTCTCCAAACAATCCAAACAATATAGGAGAACTTAGCGGAGGTTAACGCTGATGTCAGACTTTGCGAGTCGAGCGATTCGCAGGCCGCGACGCGACCGCGCACGCTAGCGAATCGCTCGATTCGCAAAGTCTGACATTGGCCTAACACGTGACGCGGCGGGCGCCTCCGTCGGCAGCAATGTGATTGTTTACACCATAAGCAGGTAGGCCCCGCCATTGTGAAATTATCCTCATCCTGTTGACTGAAATCTTGTTATTGGATAATTGAATGGTATCCTTTCTTCAAAGTTGATATAATTGATAGAAATTCCCCACTAAATTTGTAATTCTCGTAGAGATACCTTCGGTCTGCATCCGCTTTTTTATGCGTTTCATGCTTCAGACACCGCCGACTACAAATGCAATAAGTAGAGTGGAAAGTCGACGTCAAGGCGTGGACAATCGAAATCAACACCAAGGCCCGAAACAGTGGCAGAACAACGGCGGACGAGGCGGCAATGGTCGTGGTAGTCGTGGTAATGGGCAGCGCTTCAATAGAAGTGGTCCTCCGCAGAATGGTAGAAATGTAAGAGTTCCATTCCGTTCATTCAGAGGCGGAGCACAATATGGTGGAAATGTGAGAGTTTAACTTAGACCGTTTTGGCTTCTTTCTCGAACACGAAAACGGTTTTGGACCAGACCGATTTCAGTCGTCATTCTTGTTTATTAATGATTTGATTCTTTAGATTCGTGGCACCAACGGACCACCCAGTCTACTGATGGGAGCTTCAAACCCACAACCACTCCTAGCACTGAATCCCCACGGTGTTTTTGGACCGCCACCAGGTGGAAAGATCTTGATCAATCCGAATTTCAGAGGACCGATGGGACCGCCTGGACCAGGACCTTTGGGTTAGTTTTCACACGATCTTTATCTTCATATAACTTGGGTTTGTGCGAGGCGTTATAATTTCGAAATGGAAAATTTAGGTCCACCAAGTGTTATACCTCCAGTCGGATCGCGCCCTTCGATCTTGCCATCCATTGTTCCTGGCCAAGCAGGTCCGATCATCCCACGTCTCCCGAATGGTATTCCTCTTACTGGTAAGCTTATTTGGCATCAAGTCTCTGTCATGATTTTCCAAAGTGTACGTAATAATTATCAGTTGCTTCGAGTTCCGAAATACAGCCATTGCTCTTCTATGTAGTCCTTCTTAAGTTTTATTGTGCAATTTGTGTGAAGGTTCACCAATTTTTTTATTTAGGTCTACCATCAAATCATGGAGCAGCAGGATTTGGTCCCCCAGTACAACAGCCGCCGCCGTCTACCCGTCCGCCCATGCCACCTCCAATAATGCCTGGCATGTCCGCCCTCATTAGTCGACCTGTGCCAGTTGTGCAGTGGGATCAAGCTGTTGAGGAGTTCCTGAGTGGCTCAACGCTACAACGTCAACGAAGTCCACGAAGGCGACATCGTCGTAGTTCATCGTATAGCAGCTACAGTAGCTACAGCAGTCGCTCACGAAGCGCTGGCAGGTGTGTGGAAGTTTGTAGTTATACCGTATGTGCCCGTTCCTTCTTATGATAACCCGTTTATCGCTATCTCCGTTTTAGTTCACGATCGCGTTCACCTCGACGCCGGCGTGATAATAGAGGCGGCGGCAGTAGCCGACCTCGTGTGCAAAGAGACCGCAGCGGACGAGGCGGAGGAAATGTTAGAGGGCGAGGAGGTCAGAATAGGAGAGATAATGCTCCGAGAAGAGACACCAAGGATCACAAACAGGTTAGAAGTGTTTCCATGATTTTGGCTGGTCACATACAGTTGATAACGGATCATTTACGTAAATGTACACGTTGTCCAGATATCAGTAGAATGTGCCAAGGCAGTTGGAATCGATAACGACTATCTTTCAAAGCTCGAAGATCAACGAAGAAAGCGTGATGAAGTGCTAAGACGAAAAGAACAACGTCGATTTGGTGGTAATCAGCAGGAGTCGTCGAATGGACGATCAAACGATCGAGGAAGTAGTCGTCAGAACCAGGTCAGTCATCATTCCCGCTTCATTTCTTTTGAGATAGGGTTTTCAAATGCACATATCCGCCCCTTTTTTAAAGTTAGATAACCCATCGTTACGGTGTATCCTTTCAGCAGAGAGATCGCCGACCAAACGAAGGCGGCTCATCAAGCAATGATCATCGACGTAGTGGTGGCAGTGGTTCAACATCTCAGTCTACATCCAGGCCATCTACAGAAGCGGAAGCAGCACTAAAGAAGAATAAAGCCTATTTGTGCGTCAATGTGAAGAATATAAAACAGCTCACAACGGCAAAAATGCGTGTCGAAACACTAGCAAAGGATTTGGGAGAGATTAGGGTAGGTTACTTGACGTAGACGCTATCCCAAAAGGTTTGGGATTGGGATTAGATAGAATTAGTTGGAGTAGTCAACGAGCATGAGTAATTAGGTTTTTGGGGATATATCCGGCGAGATGTAGGCTGAGAATTAGGGGTAGAGGGAGTTGGAGTCAAGTAGGTTTAAGTACGATGTTGATTAATACTGCCTTGTAGAAAAAAATTTATAACGGGAACTTGTAGTGTTTTTGAGTGTCTTTTGCTCGAAATATTTTCTGAGCTCATGGAATATTTAACAAGTTATTTATGTATATTTTCGACTATATTCTCTTATAGAAGTGCTGGAAGTCGAATGAGGACCAAGTGACTGTGATATTCGTTGAACATGCGAAAGCAAAGGAGTTCATGTTGAAATACAATAAGTAAGTTTAATTTTTACATTTAAGTTCTTACTGTAGTCTGATTCCTTAAAGGAATCTTCCGCGGAAAAAGCTCCGCCTCCATTACCACAGAAAAACGATACCCCTTAGGCCCCTAGCCTCATGAGCATAGCAAAAAGAACGGAACATAAGCGTTAGTTTCGATAATACTAATCCTACACACAAGACAAAATGATCACTCTTTCCGTGGAAGATTCCTTTAAGGTATCGTTTTCTGTGGTAATGAGGGCGGAGCTTTTTCCGTGGAAGATTCCTTTAAATTTCCTGTCACGCCCGCGTGTGGCTAATTTCTGGAAAAAAAAACTGGCGGCGATGTCTTACATTTGGAAAGAATTACCCCACAAAAGCTAGTCTTAGGATTCTCTCTCTAGCATTTGGAAGCAAACCCGGGGACAACGTGGTCCGGTAACCAGAAAGTCCAAAAATGATGCACCTTTTTCCTATGCCGTGGATGGTTTGGGAAGACAAACTGTCATAGGAGAGACGGTGGGCTCCATGAAAAAGGAAAAGAATGGGTGACGACTGGGCATGGATCAAACGAGAGCACATATGGCCCATGACGTCATTCCGTGGGCGGATCCCCGGCTGCCGGCCGAAGCCAGTGTGAAATTTAACGCCTTAGCACTTTTCCTGGAAATTTCGTGCCTTGAGGTCGTTACAGCCTGTATGCTTGTTAAGTCCTATCTTCTTCGGTCTGGTCTCAGGACATCTGTCAACCGTGAGCCTTGGCGGTTCAGCGTTTTGTAGTGATGTCTGGGAGCTCTCACAAGTGCACACTATCACAGCATCTCCTCTTTCTTTATCTTCTTCAAAAGGCTTAGTCCCAATAAGACACAAAGTGTGTGCTTTTCCAGCTACGCTCTCACCCTTTGGTTGACAGAAGCCTTGTAACCCTTCGGTCTAGGGCTTCACTGTACTGATCTAACCCTGAATTCTTCCATCATAGGGTTAACATTGGAAGTTAGAGTAACACGCGTTACGCTTGAATGGGGAATATCGAAAATGAGA